CGAAAATATGTGGATGGTTTTGCACAAGATTTTAATCAAATCACTTTATTGGATTTTCGTGGCGGTTTACCTTGATTCGTTCATTCTTATTACGAGGAATTATTTTAAACATTTTTCACTCTGACACATATTTAAAACACATATACACACACACATACACACACACCTTCCTATTACAAGGAATCAGTACATACACACACATAAGACAGAATGTATATATATATAGGAATATATATATACACGCATGCTATCAAAAAACATAAGAAAATAGAATTAGATCTAAGAACACACACAAATCATTAAAAGATAAGAAAATAACTCCTTCACCATTCTCGGACTAATCTTAATTGTTTTTTTTTAACTCTTCGCACAACTTTTAACTGCCAGTTCAAGAAAGAAATTTGAACCTGTATTTACACACAAAAAGAGAATGTCTCATATCGAGAATATTTAACATCGAAAAAACATAAAAAAAAATTAATTTTTTTAATATGTGGAATTTTCCACGTTTTGCCTGATGATGGTCCGAGAACCGGAAACACAATGTCAATTAAAAAAAATGCTAAATAAAAACATTTTTTTTAAATAAATTGCAACCAACAACGTTTGCGGTTTCTTTCTTCTTTTTATATACACATTTTTCTCTCGTTCATCTAATATAACCTCTTATTTTTATAACTACAACGAAAGAATTTCACGAACGGAAAAAGAAAACCATGGTAAAACTCTTTGAATTATTAAAACAAAAACAGGAACTACTAGAGGTATATATATAGAAATTCTTCTTGGACACTATTCTCCTATCAAATCACATCACAATAAACCAGGGAACACAATTCAACACAGAAAAACTGAGGTTTATTTCAAAACACCGTTTGGATACCTGGAAAATATTAAAAAGTTCACATCCAAGAGTTTGTTTTACAAAATTGAAAGGATGTATAATTTCCGATATTGGGACAAACTTATCAATGTTAATATTTCAATGCCATCAAAATAAAAAACAACAAAAAATAAATAAAACCTTCATAGAACAAAAAATATTTTCAAGGAAATTCCGCGAAAAATTAACCCACAAGACACGGCAAAACAAAAACAAATAAAAAACATAACTGAGTCTAACAAAAATGCAGGCCTAAATTGAAATATCAAAAGAAAAAAAATACACTTTACGCAAAAAATGGACAGAGATTGATAACAAATTAGTAAAAAATAAGAAATTTGTCCCAAAGAAACTCACCAGTTCCTGTCAGAATTATGGTAAAGTCAAAATGTAAAAAAGAATAGGAAAATCTTAGAATATCTTGGAAAGAAAGATGACCTGGTTGAATGCATTACCAAGAAAAAAAGAATTGGAAAATGAGACAGCTGTATAAAAAACAAAAAACAAAAAAAAAAAACAAAAAATGGAAATCGAAACTCACAATAAAACACAAAACAACAACCATCAGCAAATACAGAAAACAGAATTACAACACAAATAAAAACCGAATCCCTAAAAACCACATCACACAAACCAGCAACAGTAACCACCCTAACACATTCTACCATACGGAATACATAATAAGAACCTAATAAACAAACCACACACAAAACACACACACAACAAAAACAATTAAAAAACATATACTGGAAAGAGCAAAAACAAACCTGGAGTTGACAATGACATCCTAACACAAACAAAAAGGTTTTAAACACGCAAAATTGATGAAAACCAACCTACAAATACCACCTAACAAACCAAACCTAACAACCACTACACATATCCAGGATTACAATCACAATGTTGAAAATGGATACACAGGACATGGAATGTTACAAAAAACAACAAATCTAGAAACATCTGGAACACGTTTCCTAACAAAAACAAACAACCTATATTAGAGCCATGTGAAACAACAACCCCAATTTCAAAAAAAAAAACCCTCTCATTGACTAGAAAACCTAAAATTTATACAGAGAAGGTATCTCTTAGAACTCGAAAATATATTAAAAGAAACAATTATTATTTTTAGAAATCCTAGGAAGAAGAAATCCAGGTTTTGATGATAAAAAACCCAAAATAATAAACCTATCTACATAGAGGTTAAAATGACAGTGTTCAACCTATTGAAATTGGGTCTAATATTTTGCCCTGCTCCGAAAAGCAATCAAATAAGACTAAAAAAAAAAAAGGATTATGGAATTTGAACGGAAATTGAGACTAAAAAGAAATATTTAATAATAACGAAAATATTACAGATGATTCATTGGTAAAAAACAAATTATTTATTCCCAAACAAAATAATAATACCAATGAGCTAAATATATTTTTGAAAAACTCTGAACCTACAGGAAAAATCCAAACCATTCGACAACCTTACATACAGACAAACCAGGTGCTGAGAACATCCGAAAATAATAACATAATTATAAAAGATAACGGATAAAATTGTTAATATAGTAATCATGGACAGAACATAATATAAAACAAAAATTTAGAAACACTAGAGGATGGGAGCAACTATAAATTAATTGACACTAATTTTATGAGGTCCACCCCCAAAGTGGACAAGTGGCCCAGTGTGTACTTGTACTGCTGCCGGTGAATACCCAGAGAGTCAATCAGAGAGATACAGTGAGAGTGTGAGGTAACCGCTTTTGTAGGAGTCACAGTTGCGAGCACGTAGACAAAGAAGGAAGTCCTACTTCGATACTGAATTTCCCAGACTGTATATATATTATTATTGCTACTAACTGCATTTCTGGATCTACTAACCGTATTACCAATTGTATTATTACGTCAATACATTTATTTGCCATATTTCATTCCTGCGTTTGTCATTCATTTGAGACCGGATTTCATCCCGGAATCCACAGCAGGTATGAATCCACTTCTTCTCAATTATTGGTTAATTAGTAAGACTTCTATCACTAAATCATTATTATCTAAAAATATCTTAAAATATAAAATATTTTCTGGCTTCTTCAGTTATATATAAGGTTTGATATTATTTAAATATCATTTAACCTTTTCAGTTGGATTAATTTAAGAATTCAATGCATGTGCGGGAGTGATGTATTAGATAATGGCTCGGAATTGTTAATCGGAGAGCTGAGTTCCAATTACAGTTGGGTTCGTTATATTCACTTACGCGCAAATGCTCTTTAAATGAATCCACCTATTCTCCCCTCAGCTGTGGATTAATTAGTAAGACTTGTATTACTAAATTATTTTTATCTCCAAAAAAAAAATCATCGTTTAAAAACATTTTCTGGCTTTAAATAACCTGGAACGTGTTGATAAACCATAAAAAACAAATCAATTTAAATTACCTGTCGTATTATAAAAACGAATGAGAAGGACGGATAATAGGCAAACTTAAATATAATCAGGCAATTTTTAGCGAATAGATAAAAACTTTTCGTTTTACCTCGTTTTTATTTGTAATTTCGTTTTATTGTTTAATCTTTTAAATTTATCAACGATCCTCTTTCATAAGAGTTGATCAAAATCTGATCACTTAGGTGTAATACCAATGTCTTTTTCTTTCTTTCGATAGTACTTTTCAGCATATCTTCGCTTCGTCAGGTTATCAAGATTATTAGTAGAGAGTTCGACCCTCACTGAGTGACTCATCCTTTCAGCTTTTTGATAAAACTATTTTTCCTTTAATAAATATCGACTGTTTTCTGTACAGCATAATACAGACACTCTTAAAGACAAACCCAATTTTAGAGAAAGCAAGGCTCAGCCTAAAAATGTTTATGTGTCAATTAGAGATGATACAGATTGAAGTACACTAATCCAGAATTTATAAACCTAGCAGCTGCCATATTGCAGAATGATGATTTCAATATTTGGAACACTATGAGGAAAGAAGGCACAGAAAATCTGACACTCACATGACATACTGAAGGCAAATGAACATACTAAAGGAGCTTATGTGTAGCCGGAGAGAGACTGGGATGGAAAAAAAGAGGAAAAATATTGTTTAGATCTAAAAAGGATAGGATTGGAGACAATTATTTTCAATTGAAATTTTCAATTGAAATTTTGGAGAAACTTTTTCCCTTGACACTATCCTTTAATATTTTCTGATTTAATTTACTTATAAAATTTTGCTATAACTCATTTCAACAATAAGTCCTTCATTGTAACAATCTCTATGTTTTTCTTTCTGTATCTGTCTATATTCCTGAAATGACGTATTATGTACACTATTTACATTATCCGGACTATTGCCCTCATCTTTGTTGCCATATTTATCACAACGTTGTATGCTCCGGCCTTCTTCTTACACAGATGTCCTTAAGGACACATGACACAGTGGATAAAGGCGTTGGTTAGATCCAGTGACAGGACCCAAAGTGTTGTGAGTTCAATACCTGATTAAGGCAGTAGAGAAATTGGAGAAGTGAGTTAACAGAAGACAACTGATAACTGGCATCCATTAGACATGGCACGTGGAACTAGAACAGTCAATCTCAGCGAGCGAAATAAAGGGTTCAGGTTTATATTCCAACCACCTGAAGAAGGCCGGAGCGTACAACGACCGAAACGTTGTGATAAATATAGCAACAAACGATTTTCTTTTTATTTTCCACTCAGCTTCTATAGTTCGGATCATCCGTTATTCTATCACATCTGTCCCTAAAGCTTCCCGGGTTAATATTGTTTCACCAGTATAATCACTTTCCGAAAAGAGAAAAAACGCTTTAAATTACATGATAATCGGAAAATGCACATTGCAACATTTTTTGTAATCAAGTGTTTTTTACTGCTTATCCATTTTTGGCAGGTTATTTAAAGCCAGAATATATTTTTTGATAGTAAGAATCTCTTGGAAATAATAATGATTTACTGATACAAGTTCGGGAGAGAAGTGGTGGATTCATGCCTTTCCCAAAGATATTTGAGCATAAGTGAATATAACGAATCCTACTGGAATTGGAACTCGGCTCTCCGATTTACAATTTCGATTCGTTATCAATTACACCGCCGGCATACCCAAGCTTAAAGCACCTGATATTCCCAAGCGGTTCCCCATGTAGGTACCGACCAGGGTTGATGTTGCTTAACTTCTCTGATCATACGAGAACCGGTGTTTCAACATGATATGACCATAAGCAGCCAACAAATGAAGTATTAAATTTGAAATTGAAATATTTCTACGATACAACAAATTCCTGCTCGAAGAACGTTCCCGAAAATAACTTTAAATTTTAGATATCAAAGATAATTTTAATTAGATTGTTTAAACTTTGAACTGTGATTCTGATAACTGGTCGAATCAATTTCATTTGTCGAATAAAAAGCCAAAAACGTTTGGCTTTATCAGTTTCATGTTATTACCATTTTTAAAATTTCATTTCAGATCTTTGAGTTGAGCTTCACTGTTTGAATCAAATTTTAAAGGAATCCTTTTATTTGTAAGAAAATTAAGCGTTGCCACTGGAATTAGGTCTCCGTTGAATATTTGATCCCCCCTCCACTATTTAATTTTATTAGCTACTGGATATATTCTTTTCTATTTTACTTGAGAGAGTTGAGCAAGCTTTCATTTAGGTATTTGTCATGTTCTGCATAGAATGGTACAAGGTTATACGCATGAGGCAATCCTGCGAGGATCTATCTGGTATAGGAATTTCAGGTACCTTAAACATCTCGACAAGGCGTCAAAATTATTTTTTCCTTTTACAGAGTCTTTCATTTTTCTTTCTTTCTTACATTCTATTTTCAACACTTTTTCTTTTACTCTTTTGCCATGCCAGTGCGGCAATCGAATACACCTGCTGTATCCACTACACAGGCCTAGGGCTTCCAACATCCCAATTTAGATGCTTGCAGACTCAAGGATAAACTCGATCAATTATAAACTATAGTCTTCGGTATAATCTCGAATAGTGTTTACTTGTAGTCACATGTATAAAATCGACTAATGTTTATCTATAGTTCTCGACAAAAACTCGAGAAGCATTTACCTATAGTTTCAAGTAGGTACATGACGAGTATTTTCTTATAGTCTCAAATATATACCTGAAAAATATTTGTCTATAGATGCGAATCTAAATTCTAACACTATTTTCCTCCAGATTCGAGTATAAACCGACCAATCTTCACGATTAAACTCAAATATAATAAGATACCAAAATTGAATAAACCAATAAAGTTTGATTTGTTGAAAAACTCAACAGATCAATCCAAATTTTTCTTCTGTTTATTTCTTGTCCTTTTTCTAAGAATCTAAAAGCGTCACGTTTAACACGATTGTAAATGGCAACCAGCATACTCTAGTTGCTTGCACATCAATGAAGCAGAGAATCGTACGCGTCTGTTAAACTATTTGAGCGTCAAAAGTAAATTGAAGATGAGAACGGGTGACGGAAATGAGAAAGAACTTCGTAGATCTATCGAACGCGGTCACATTTTTCACATGGTTGAATTTATAGACTACAGAGCAAAGATAATGAATTCCCTTGTCCGTGATCAGCACGATAATCAGTATGTACCTCCGAGTGATCTGTTTTGGATTCAAGCAGCCACACACACACACATATATATATATATATATATATATATATATATATGAGAATCCATTTTTCAGTGGTTATCTTGAAAATGTAACCAAAAAAGGATTATTTCTTTTTCTCTCTTAAAATTATAACATTGAGCTAGTTTTTATCATGCATTTATTTACGAGTAAGTTTAGTTTAGTCTGGCACAAGGTCAGGGCCTCTGAAGCATTAATTAAACAATTAAATCACTGTACTAACGAATTGGCTGTCGGATAGGATCGTTGGCCTTCATATTAACAGTTCCGTGTCTAGTTTCGAATGATAATAAATAAGAAAAAATAAAATCGATGGATATTTCAGAAAAAATCACAGCAGGTCACATTAAACACGGAAAGATATCGTTGGTAAAAGAAGCCAGACATGAGCATATTATAAGAAATTGGTTAGCTGGATGAATAGATATGTGTCTAATTTCGAATAACAATAAAAAAAAAGACGACGAGGATGTACAATTTAGAGAAAAATAAAAAAAAAATAAATCATAGCAGCGGGATATAGCAGCGAAAAAGACACTTTAAACACGAAAAGATGGTACTGATAAAAGAAGATTGGTGTGTGAATATTATAACAAATTAAAAATCTGCTAAAATATATAACGCTTCTTCCGATTATTGGTTGATTTTACGACGTCAACCATTATTGGTTTACTCAATGTTAATTTTTGTATAGGTCAACCGATGATGGCTGAACTCACTACTCATTAGTAATATTCAAGCAAAGTATCCTCACAAAACATTATCCTACGCTGAGAAGCCTTTTCTACAGTAGAGTAGATACTACTGATTTAGAGAGACAATAAAACAAAGATGTTACGTATTAAAAGTGAATACAGTAACGTGAACTTCACAGAACATATAAAAAGGACACATCGGGCACCTCGGCATGGTGTAATGGTTAGCAAGCTTGTTTCTCTAATACAGTTAGTAAGTTTAATCCTCACTGGGTGCCCCATACTTTCGGACTTCTGCTACATCTAAGTTACGCTTAGAAAATCTATATAAAATGGACACATGATTGTGTTTGGTTTGGTTTGTTTTACGGCATATCAACCTCAATGGATTATTTAATGCCGTCAAAATTTTATTCCTGGTAATATTGTTTTTCAAAAATGGATTTTTGGTAATATTTTTCTTCAAAATTCTATTTCAAGTAATATTTTTTCTTCAAAAATGTATAATATAATATTATGTAATATTTTTTTTACAAAGTATTTCTGGTATTGAAACCTATTTTTACAATTTCATTGTATTTTGACCCCAGTTTGGGGATTAACTATTTGCCTATAGTTGAGGTCAGGGTGGACCTCGGAACACCAGCAATTAAGAAGTGGTTCTACACTCTTCAAAACCATCCGATCTGAGTCCTTGCTGTCGGACGTAGTTTATCGTTTTACCCTGGACACGGACGTAGTTTATCGCCATACCCAGGACGGCATGATTGCGTGAGTAAAGTAGTTCTCTAGAAATTATGCAAAAGACACGAGATTTGTCGGAGCACAAATTACTTTATATACTCGACTTAAATATAAGCCAAGAGCTGTACTCACCGAGACCAGGTCAACCGACTGTTGCGGGGGCTCGGGGAATTTTTGTTCCTTGCCCGGGTGCACGCGCTCGGGCTCCTCACATTAAACCGACCTTGTGTCACAACCTGAATCGTGGACGTTGAGTAAATACAAATATAAAATGGGAGATAAGCATATATTCGCGGTTAATATTTTGCCGATATTCCCCGACCATTTTTAAGAGAGAAAGTAGTGGGGTAAGAAAATATTCGGATCGGCTTATAGACACGTATATATTCGGTAACATCTGTCCTTGCAAATTGGAAATAAAGACTTCTAAAAAAATTGGGAGGTTTTGAGGGGCGTGGAACCAACTCTTAATTGCTGCTTTTTCCTGGTCCACCCTGACCTGGTATGGTAGTACTTTTTAGGGTCCTAGCTACGAGCAAATAATGAATTCCCAAACAAAAGCAAAACACTGTGAAAGTATAAAAATATATTTTTATTTAAATAAAATTACCAACAATACATTTTTATAGTAAAATTATCAAAAATACACGGTATCTTTAGTTGAAGGTGTACAGTTGCGTTCAAAATATGTTTAGTTGATACTATATAATTGTTCAAATTATTGTGATTTCGGCACTGAATAACCCATAGAGGTGGATATGTCAGTAAAAAAAATCAATGAAACAACCAACATGAAATAAATTTCATAACATTAATCCACATAATATCCTACAATTTCTTGAAGAAATCAAACTGTATTCCAAAATATAACAACATAAAACACATCTATCACCGCTTTCTAGTAATTATGTCCACACAAAAGTAAATCTAAAAATACATCTACCATGTATTCAATTTTGAAAGCAGAACAACATATAACATATTTTCATTACATTATAGCACCCCAAGAAAATTGAATTTCGGCATCAAGTGAGCCATAAGAAGTTGATATGCTGTTAAGAAAACAAACCAAATAAAAAATAAATCTAAAAACAGGCAGATCATATGAAGACCAAATGTCTAAATCCAGATGTTGTAACAGAAAAACCAAAAGGAATATCGCCGCCGAAAATGGAATTAGCGAGTACAAGTTCCAGCCTCGTCAGCTGCATTCCTTTCACACAATTCAATGCCCTTGGGAAAACATGAATCCATTTTTCTTCCTCAAGATAAATCACGATGTAAACTGGGCTGTCGTGTAAAGATTGGCAACCAGTTATGAAGAAGAACAACATTTCTTAACTCGAAACAATTAAAGAGCCACGAAAAGCTAATCCGTTATCTCCCCAAATAAGCCATCGCAACTGACAGATATTAAACAGGAAGATGTGGAGAGCCATCATCGCTTGAAGTGGGATAGCATTAGAATATTTGTAGAAAGCCACTGAAGAAACGTAGACATTGGCTTCCAAATCAACTAATATTAGGGTACCGGTCGTGCCCATAATCAATGAGGTACCGAGAGTAGTTAAAATCAGACACTTCTCATCGTAATAGAGAGAAGTCAGCAAGAAGAGTGAAGAAAATCTTGTAATTTGAACATTCCTACTGTCTGCTAACATGCAGCTTACACTATATTCTTAAAAAGAAAATTGTATATATTGCATCTTTAAATGTAGAATGTTTATTAGTAAAAATAGTATACTTCTTTTATTTTAGAAATACGCCCTCTCAGAAGATTTCATTTTTCAGATCAAAAAACAGTTCTGTCATTTGCAGTCTTCAAGGAAAAGTCTATCGAAGTCCATTGAAAGGATTCAATAAACATTGGAATACATTATAATCTTAAGGTGCAACATAGCATCGATTTTAAATTCATTTACGCGTTCACGTGGCGGAAGATATATTCGCCACTCTATAGCCTCTTTTCCCACAAACGCAACATTGGAAGTCTATCGTTACTCAGTCGCGATTTGCATGACAAATGGTCGAATGCTCTCCATTCTTAGTTCCATCTGTTCAATCCTTATAGCTAGGACACGCCCTTTTAATCGAATCACCCACACTTCCCCAGTGTTTCAAATGCAAGAAGCAATTTCAAGTCAGATCGCTTCCCACCACCCACAAGAATTGGTACGTTGTCGAACAGGCTACCGCATAGATGTTTCACGAAACACTAAAATTTAAATCGCTTCATGTCGAGGGTTTATCATTAACTATACTCTTCATCGTCATAATTATCACTTACTGCAACCGCTTTCACTCATATCACATCACATTCATTGTAATCATTTTAACAGCCATCTACCTTAACTGGCTCATGAGTCTTATATCGGGTGGAACTTAGTATTAAAAATACGATGAATGTAGCAGACAATTGAAGACTTCCTAGCCAAATAGAAGAGCTTTAACTGCTCACTAAACACTCACGAGGCTTAACATTACCCTGTTACTTTTTCTGATGATTTTGGTAAATTGATGTTTTCAGTTGATCTCAATGAATGCAGTACATGTTCGAATCGATCATTTGATTCATAAGGAGATATACATAGTTGAGGAATTCTTTCCAATTTTTTTTTACGGAGTGTTATTGTCAGCCTCACACACAACCGGTTCTGAATTCAAACTTTTCCTTCTTCTAGACTGGGTTCCAACCAGTGCTAGAGAATCTGGTCTGTTCTGCTATTTAACAAAAAATACGTCGGGAGATGAGGTGGATTTATATCTTTTTCAAGAGGATTTGTGAGAAAATGAATGTAACGAAATCAGTCGAAACACGACCTCGCCTATTTCACTTTCGGCGCCGATAACCGCTACACTGGCTGCGCATCCTTTATATTGGTTTTCATTATATTTCTAATAAAATCGTTTAAATGATATTTATTTACCTATTACCTATCGTTGTCTATGTTCATTTCCTTATATCTCACTTCATTTGTGATTACCTATATCTACCTGTTTAAGAAGAACAACAACAATTCTGGATTCAAAACAATTAAAGAGCAACGGAAAACCACTTCGGTATCTTCCCAAAGAAGTTATGGCAATTGACAGTTACCATACAGAAAGCTGTGGAGAGCCACTATCACTTGAAGAGGGATAGCATTAGAATAATTTGTACAAAGCCACTGAAGAAACATTAGACATTGGCTTCGAAATCGTCTGATATTAGAGTACCGGCAGTGCCCATAATCAAAGAAGTACCGAGAGTAGTTAAAACAATTGATAGTCTCTATGTGAGTCTTGAATAATTATTTAAAATGTTCTTATTTATCTGGTAGAGTAAATTTGTGGAAAATATTTTATTCATATGTCATTTTCTTTTGCTCTTTCTTACTGCTGCAGTTAACTTGCTTGTAAAATCTATCATCGAGAAACTATTTCAGCTTAGAAATTGTGCGCGGAGCTTTTCTTTTCGTAAATTTGTACGATTTTCTTTTTATATTTCTGAAACGAAACGAAACTATTATCTTCTTTTCCCTCGTAAATTTACATTTTGTAGTTGTTAAAACTAGAATGCTTAATTAACAATTATGTTGCCCGAAAGTAGCATTACTGCTACTAAGCACAGCCACTTATTCACAGTTTATTGTCTCTGTCTTCCTCGTTCGTTCGCTAACTACCGCAGTCATTGGCTTATTCGTTCATTCTAACATTCGCTAGCTTCACACACTGGTTCGTTGTCGCACACGATGAGAGAATCTGGAGACGACATACTCTCACAAAAGTGGAAGTACAATTAACGATGTTTACATCATATCATCAAGTACTACTCGTACATTTTGTCAGCCATATTGTCGCGGAATTCTGTTGATTGCATCCGTTATACGTGATCATTCCAACGGGGAGCCTTTTGGTCATCGTCTGCGAAGGAAATTAGATGATAACACACAGAGAAATGGCGGCTGGTTGGATGTGTGCACAGGATTGAGGCATGCGGGATATGAGTATCTCTTGCCGCCTTTATGGTGTCCGTAATTATTATTCACACCTGGGGACGCGGCAAAAGGTAAGGAAGTTAAAGAGAGACTGATTCGGGCGGCGGAGCTATTGTGTTGTCGGGGGAAGATGAATTGGAGAGTATGTGTAGGTGGGTTCTTTTCTGAATGTGTATGCGTCCGTTAATAAATGAGTGGTGTGTAGATGTGAAAAGAGGAAGAGGGAAATAGAGTAAGAACGATAACGAAACAAAGGAAAAATTAGTGGAAAAATGTGAGTAACTGGAACAAAGAGTCAGATGGAAGAAGAAAGAGAGAGAGTGAGAGAGAGTGAGAATGAGAAAAATAAAGGAAGAAACACACTGGCATAGAGAGAGAGAGAGAGAGAGAGAGGAAGGAAAAGGGCGAAGAATAGAAAGGAAGTTAAAAAATGAATAACCAAAAAGAAAGACATTTAGTGTGTGAGAGAGAGAGAGAGAGAGAAGGAAAAAAATAAGGGAAAGAGAACAAGATGATAAAACGTTCTCGGCTGGACCCACTTCCTAAAATCTGATCAGATTTTTGGGAAGGAATTCATAGTCGGGCTGAGAAGTTTTTAGAAGCCACTTGTAAACAAGATGGCTGAATTGAAAAAGGAATGTCGGATAGCGAGAGAATGAGAGAGAGAGAGAGAGAAAATGAAGTGGAAAAAGATGATGAAAAAGAGGAAGTAAAAGAGAAACAGGACGTATGAAATACGGGATAAACGAAAAAAGAGCAAAAGTAGAAAAAAAAAAAAACAAAGAAAAAGGACGGAAGAATGAAAAACGTAGAGAAGATGAAGAAACATGATCGAAAGAGAAGTAATCAAATAAAGAGAATAAGTACTTATAGGATTGAGTTCGAAGATGTCAATATCTATTAACTAGAATCTATATATATATATATATATATATATATAGAGAGAGAGAGAGAGAGAGTGCGATGAGTAAATTTTCACCATTTTATATTTATAATTTCGCGCATGCGCGTTGTTTAATTCTGATTTATGGTAGAGTCAGTTGGGCACTATCTGTGAGAAAAAGAGCACCATGACGCAATTCATCCGCCATAAATTTCGAAATAGCATGCTGTACTGCTTGGCATTCGCGCCGGATGCTACAATACGAACATTTCAGAGTTTTTCGGTGTCAATCTGAGGACAGAGCAGAGTATTTGGAAAGAGATGAATCTAACGACGATTACGAAGGTGATCACTAGTGATGGCGACGTTATTCCTCCATTTATCTTCCCACAGACTCAACACGGAGGCCTATATCAATTACCTTGAGAAGGTAGTGCTGCCCTGGGTCAAGAAGGTGGCTGCTGGAAGATCCTATGTCTGACAAGAGGACTCTGCACCATGCCACACAAGCATGAGAACCCAGTCATGGCTGTTGGACAATTCCGGCAATCACACCATCCCTTACATCTGGCTCCCCAGACTACAAACCGCTTGATTATTATGTGTGGGCGCAGTTGAGTAAGAGACCAACAAAACTCGTTGTAACACCAAAAATGACCTGAAAGCAAGGATTATGGCTGCATTCAACAACTTAACCAAGGAGAACGGCCAGAAGAGTTGAAGGAGATTCGGAAGTCTTCTAGAGGTCGTTGTTGGAGCCAATGACGATTTTATTGAATAAATTTACTTTTTAGTATTCCAAGGTATTTTTGTGTGATTTTGATAAATATATCTGTTAAAATGCGATGCCGGTGTTATTTTCCGTTTTGCGTAAGTTAGATGACAATTTATTCATCGCACCCTGCCTATACGCATATATAATCGAAAAAAAAAAAAAGAACCTCCTCTTCTTCCTATCTCTCAATATATATATATATATATATATATATATATATATATATATATATATATATATATATATATATATATATATATCCGCCATATCCAGTCAGGACGTGAGCGATCATGGCTGTCCATAACTTCCAGTCTTTATGACCTCTCTTTCACTTTGGGTTATTTGTTTCTCAATCCATTTGGTCCTCGTTGCTTACCTCAGTTTGCCTTCAATATGACTTGTGAGCATAATATTCTCCAACACTTCTTACCTCTCTTTCTGATTTTTAGAAACACTTTATTTTCAGTCCTTTTTAATACAATCTTACTTCTTTCTTAACTATACTGGTTACTATATTCTCAATATTCGTAGATAGGACAATATCTTTTCCTTTTTTTTTTCATTTGAAAAGAAATGTTCTAGTATTCATTGCCATATACGACATGTCAATTATTATTATGCAAGTCAATATTTTCGTAATAGAATTGTTATTGACCAATCGACGTGAGTGAAATTTCCAGCATAGATTTTAGAAGAGTCCAATATAAGATAAAGTTCATAAAACCTATCATTGTTCGTCGAACAACGTAATTTGCTACATAGCTAAAACTTTAGTCATGTTATTAAATAACCCCGTCAGGTCGAGATTACCATATGAATGTCCGTACGGCGCCAAACTCGTCCAGACATTATTTACATTATTCGGACTATTGCCCTCATCTTCGTCGCCATATTTTTTTTTACAAAACAAAAAAATTTGTACTCCGTTCTTCTTCAGGTGATTGGAATGTCAAACTGAACACTGCCTTAACCGGGTATTGAACTCACATTCTTTGGGTCCTGTCACTGGATCTAACCAACGCCTTTATCCACCGTGCCATGTGTCCTTGAGGACGTGGAACTAGAACAGTCTACCCCAGTGAGCGAAATAAAGGGTTCAGTTCGACATTCCAACCACTTGAAGAAGACCGGAGAGTACAACGGCCCAAACCTTGTAATAAATATGGAGACAAAAATGAGGACAATAGTTCGAATAATGTAAATAATTTACATTATATATATATATATATATATATATATATATATAATGTAAATAATTTATATTATATATATATATACATATATATATATACAGATATATAGACATATATCGTCCAGACATAACTAAACTGTAAGCTATATAAAACCACTTTTTCAGATCAATGAGTTAAAATGATTTCCAACGAATGAAGACAGTAGAGTATTATTTTTCTTCGAACATCGTGGACTGGCACTACAGAATAACAAAGAACTGTACCAAATAACAGAAACCATATCCCTTGAATTAAAAAAAAGCAACAACTAAAATGGATAGAACAAGACAGAATAATGGCATAATCAATATGTTTACGCTCCATACTATCTCAAAGAAACGAAACCACCATTAATACTGGAAAGAGCAAATAACAGATATTAGACTTGAGGAACATATTTTCCTGAAAATGATTTCCTAAAAGAAAGATTTTATAAATTTAATCCCACCTGAATGTTACCATACAGCTCATATCGTTACTGGTAAGCTGCCATAGCAGCCGATCTATAAAAAAATCAGTGAGAATATCTCATGTAACATGTTTTCATTTAGCATATGTAAAATCACCTTGAGAACATTTAATTTAATATGACATCACCTATCATCTAAAATATTCCCTGATAATATCGTATGTAAGTTGTTATTACCTCCCATCTGTAAAAAAAATCCGCGAGAATACCTTATGTAATTGCTAAGCGAGCGAGACGATCATGTCAACCATTGTGTAACTGTGGCCTTCTTAATTAGTTGTTTTAGAAGCTTTCTTTTGTTTCGAATAATACAATAGTCTTACCCACAGCGAGGATCAATATCTGTCTATATTTCTTAGATGAATTTTTATGTACTCTATTTTATATTATTCGGACTATTGTCCTCATCTTTGTCGCCATATTTTTTACAACGTTTCGGCCGTTCTACACTCTTGCCTTCTTCACGTGGTTGGACAAGGTGGATAAAGGTGTTAGTTAGATCCAGTGACAGGACCCAAAGAACTAGAACAATTTACCCCAGCGAGAATAATAAAGGGTTCAGTTCGACATTCCAACCACCTGAAGAAGGCCGGAGCGTACAACGGCCGAAACGTTGTAAAAAATATGGCGACAAAGATGAGGAAAATAGTCCGAATAATGTAAATATTGTAGGGAGGATCAAATTCGTTACACTAACAAATGATCTGGGAGACTGGTTTGTTTAATCCTTTTTTAATCGGTATCACCCCATGCAAGGAAGTAAAGTCACTAAAACACGAAAGGTTTACAGGGTGTAGAAGAATTAAGAGCAGAAACAATAATAATGAGCAGTAAGAGAAGTGAGTAATCAGATGGACAGTAGATAGCGATTGACATTGCATTTAATTTTTTGCAGATTACATTTGGCTGGAAAGCGTCGGACCAGAAGGGAGTTTCACAAGCGAGAAAAGAAACTGTTAGAATACAAGTTACGGCTACATTTAGCCGGCCCGACTGTAAATTGATGAGATCTCGACGCCAGTCTAGTATTGAGCTTAAATTCGTACAGTCTACGTGCCATAGCGAATAGTTCATCCGAACAATTAGCATGAAAGTATTTAAAGAAAATGCACAGAGAAGCAACCCTACGGTGATGGGTAACTGACTAAAGCCGACCTGCCAGATCAGAACCAATAATATATCATAATTAATCATCTGAGAGACGGCTTTCTACCTTCCATCAGTACTAAAGTATCTTCACCACGATTTTAAACTTGAAAGTTTTTTTTTCCTGGATTGTCTAATATTCGAGATAAACTGCCCAGTCTTCCCGGCTATTGCACATATAATTGTTACATTCCAGTGATATTAATTCGAATCTGTTTTTTATTATATGCAATTTTTTTTTAAACTTGTATTGCCCCACGCAAGACAGTAAAGTGACTAAAACACAGTTTACAGGGTGAGCAAGAATTAGGAACAGAAAGAATAATGAGTGGAAAGTGAAAAGAGGAATCAGGAGGACAGTAGATAGCGATTGACATTGCATTTAAATTTTTGTAGATTTACATTGGCTGGAATGCTTGGAGCCGGAAGAGAGTTCAACGAGCGAGAGGTGCGGGATAAGAAACTGTTAGTATAGAAGTTACGATCAATAATATTGGTGATTCTTTTTTTTTTTTGGATTTTATCAAGGAGCTCAAGGTAAACAGCAGAACACAGGACCATATGTGGCAGCAACATTCTAATCATGGACGAATGGTATATTATAGATATCTAAGATAGGTGAGACAATTTTTCTCTCCAGAACCTAACACAGTGAAACGAATTTCTTAACAGCTGGCCTAGCAGTAGATTCAATATAGGCTTTCCGCTTCATATTAACTAAGAACGTTAAAGCGCAATGAGTCGCTTTCCTGGAGGTTAGCATCATGTGACGTCACTTGGTCCAGGGTCGAATCCTTTGGTCACGGCGCCAACTGTGACGTCGCCCCTCCTTGGTCGCAGCGTCGACTCTGTCGTTCGATCTCGTTCGCGGCTCCAACTGTGACGTGACGTGATGTGGCCGCCCAAGGGTCGATCCTTGTCACGGACAGCACCAGTTGTGACGTTTTTGCCGCGGCGTCAGCTGTTCGCTCCTCGCTGCTCCAAGTGTGACGTTCCAACCCTCTGGTTAGATGATTACCAGCCTCGCCGTTCCCAACTCGCTTCCAACACCTGGTTACTAGGGTAACTGTACTGATCTCCGGTCTGCCTACCCACGTTGTGATCAGATCTTAGACAGACGGGATCAAACAGGAGTCGGGGCCGTATGCCAGCTGGGTTCAACGGGGGTGGCAACACACAAGTAAAAGAAAAAACTCACGAGGCAAAAAATTACTGATAAAAAAGGGTAACAACCTTTTATATCTAATGTTCGTTACATAAAAATTATTCTTACTTCCCGACCCGTTTTGTGGACTGTGGCACCAAGCTTCTATCCTACAATTTAAAGACTTTGAGTTGCCTACTCTCTAGAATTTTGTATGTCGGAGTGTGGTTTGGTTTCGACACTGGGCGCTAATCTCTACCAGTCGTTCACGGCTGATTCTTCTCTTCGGCTTGAGTTGGACGAGCTTTATTCGCTTCGGCTTGAGTTGGACGTATTTCTTCACTTCGATTTGGGTTGGACGAATTTCCACCCTCAGGCTTGGCCTGGTTTCAACTTCTTCTAGACGCAACTGCAAGTAACTTCTTCTTCTTCCGTCCTGCAACTCTTCTCGCCAAGGTCCGAACTCTTCTCTCTGCCGTCTGAGGTGATCTCTTCTCTCTGCCTTCCGGGGCTGAACTGTTCTGCTTGTTTGGCCTGCAACTTTACTGCCTGTCTGGCCTGCAATTCTTCGGCTTGTCTGGCCTGCAGCTCTTCTGCCTACCTGGCCTGCAATTCTTCGGCTTGTCTAGCCTGCAGCTCTTCTGCCTATCTGGCCTGCAATTCTTCGGCCTGTCTGGCCTGCAGCTCTTCTGCCTGTCTGGCCTGCAGCTCTTCTGCCTATATGGCCTGCAATTCTTCTCCAACTTCTCTGCGGCTTTCGAGCAATTTTCTTCTCTTCGACTTGGCTGCAACTTCTCTGCCTGTCCGGGCCAAAACGGACCGACCCTTCTTGCCCGCAAGGGGCGAATGAACAGGGCCCGCCGTCCGCTCTCCAACTGCTCTGGCCGTCTACCCCGCAACTCTGTGATTTCTGTCGATTGGGGTCCTGCTTTTATTGACGCCGCAACAAACTGGGGTGGGTCTGTCGGCGTCAGGGTTTTCTTGATAATTCCAAAAGTCGCATTAGTTCTGATTTCCCATTATCGCTCTTATTTTCACCCTACTTCCTCACAGTGCCTCTGGGGGGCGCGCACCATCTCTCCCGGTCTCTCGGTCTGACCGTTTTTCGATGTCCTTTCTCCTCTTTCTCGCATATCACGTGACCGCTTTCGGCTAATGAGATTCTGGTTGGGCGTCTCCCGTCCTTCGTGACGTCTCCAATCGGGCGTGGTCTATCCCGGCTTTGTTCTGGGAAAGAGACACCTTGCTAAAAAACAAAATCCAATTTTTTTTTTTCGCACGCACGAAAATGACAATCTCGGCCTTTCTCACTTTTTTTGGCTTTTGTCAAAACAGCCCGCCGCTAATTAGATATGACTTCAGGAAGAATTTTTCTCGTCTCGCTGGCGCTTTCTGTGAGCTAAAACAATTGTTTTCACCTCTCTCCCTCGCTCGGGGCCTGTTAACAAAATCTTAATTATCTAAATTGAAAATATCTTCACTTCCTCATCGTGGGGGTTCTAATCTTCAACAGGTCAGGATCTGTATACAATTCCAGCGGTCACCTTCTCATTCCAAAGACACCCTTCTCCGATTAATATTTCGTTTTCCATTGTTCTAAAAATCCCATTTCTCCAAATTGATAATGAGCTTCTACACAAAAGTAGGCCAGATGATTTGACCGATATTTTTATCAATCGTACGTATGTTCATACACTTTTACCAAGTCTGTTTTCTTTCTTTCTTTCTTTTAATTACCTCTAATTCTATTCTTCCAAATAACAATTTCCATTGTTTTTGAAATTCGGTCAGGCGCGTTGGCCTAGATATCTCTTGACACCTGTTATGACCGGATTATCTATTTCTGCTCCTCTCTTTTCTTTCTTTCTTTTCCTTTTCTTTTTTTTCTTTTTTTTCCCTTAGGATCGTCTAAATACAATTAGAGAATTATTCTCAAAACTCAATTATTCTTCGTCTAAATAACTAACAACTGGTAAATAAACCGAATAAAACTTAAATCATATTTCTAGGAATATTTCTTTTTAGTTTTTCTAATAATGCAGGGTGCCACAATCAGCCAAGCTGATAGAATACATGGAGGCGTCTCTAAGATGATTAATGGAGAGAAATTTAGTCGTGGAGGTGTTAAGATTAACAAACCATATGTTTTGCCCCAGATTTGCATATAAAATATTTACACATTTCAACAGAAACGTATATCTATACCCGGGGGTCACGTGGTTGTAGGCGTATACATACAGGCAGGCAGACAGGCTGCGGCGCCTTATCGTTCGGAAACAAAACTCTGTAAGAACTGCACATCTCTCGTTGGGACATTTTGAAGTCTACACGAAAATAAAGCTAGCAGATAGAAACTTCGGGAGACGTATACATATCTGAAATGGGTAAGTGAACCACGTTTTATCATGATTTCTTCCTGTGGATTAACTGGTATGGAAAGAGCCCGATCAAGGGTCTAGTGCCCCTCGATCTATGATACGGTGCCACCAACTCTACTACATCTCAATTTTCATAAGGTAGGATTAATTTAAAATACAAATTTTATTGTAACATAATTATGCAAATAATAGATCATATGCAATATAGGCGAACAATTCAACTAGAAGAATTGAAAATAAATACGATGTATGTAAATTCAAATTATAATCATGTCGGAATAGACCATTCTATCTTAAATAAATCAACATTGTTTTGCGGCAATTTCTAACGAACTTGATTTTTTTATTAAAAAATTAAATAATTTTAACACATTCAATATCATAGATAAAAAAAAATGTTTTAATGGAATGCCCCATTCTCCCCATCGCCTATTGTGGACTAACTATATCAGTAGATATATATATATGTGTGCACAGGATATACCTGTCGGACTTTTTTCGGGAATTAGTTGAAGATCCGTCTACAGCTAAGCTGGTCGAACTCTTTGCCTTCGGGCGGAGAGGAACCTATACCAGGTTATGCCGTAGGGCAGCGTCTCGTCCGGGATGGTAGACAGCTACTCTACCCCGTTTTTTTACAGGTCTACGGGGAATTTTTGCTCGAGTCAATGGGCTCGGTTTTACCCAGCATTAAAAAAGGCCTTGTGCCACATCCTGTCTCGCGGGGTGGTGAGGTAAATAATCTTGTTTCGGGAATTACTAGCCCGCTAACCGATCCCCTATTTTTCAGTAGTTTATTCCCTTTTACAATAAGCCTCTCTTTCATCTATGCCTATGTTGCTGTTCCTTTACTCGAGTACCACCTTTGTCTGTTTGTAACCTTCTTTAAGGATGCAACAAAAAAATTAGGGAATTTTATATTGTGTTTTTTTTCAGAGGATGGGACATTTTATCACAGCCGAAACAACACCGACCAACTCAACTCTAGAACAACTCACCGCCAATCTACTTAGCGCGTGGACAACTCAACGTTCGTAGTGTTGGCTGTTATAGTGTACACATCTCTTGCATCTACTTAGTTGTAGTGATTTTAAAAGTTTGGCTGTTTGTCTTAGTGATTTATCAGTTACAAGTCAGCCAAATAGGCTGTTGTGTTTAATTTTCAAGATCAAACAAAGAACCATGCTGAGGCAGCAAATAGAAGACTATTTGTGGGAATAAGAGCACCTTATAATATCCTTGATTTATTACGGGACTGCATTTTTCAAAAATTAATTGGCGGTCATCCCCTTCCACTAAATTGAAGAAGTATATAAAAGCAGTTGAACGAATTTTGCAGATTATTTCTTCTTTTTCACAACAATATTCAACTGAATATTTGAAGGAAATTGCATACAATTTTCGATAAATATTTAAACTAAAAATAGAGTCATGTATTAAAAATGATCCTTAATAAATTATTTATTTTTTTTTAAGATGTCGAAGAAAAAAATTAATTGTTTGTAAGTCGTTGAATTGTGCTCGCGCTGAATAGGCTGGTGGTCTTTTCTTTAATAGCACTTATTTTGGCTGATTGATATTAATTTCCCCATTTAAAATAACAGGGCTGTCAAATCATACATGTGTCCCCCACTAAATACTATGCTGACAGTAATAAGAATTAATATCGGATCAAAGAAATAAAATAAATGTTGAGCAATTAATGTATTTACGTTTCGAAAACGAAAGTAAAACTCGCAAATGTAGACTTTGGAAGATCCCCCAAAAAATGTGGATTTCACATATGCTTTACTGTTAGCTAATGGACGTGTGGTCTTGGACTATTCTCGGAATGCGAATTCACCATCATCGCCAAGATGTAAGAGGTTCTTTTTCTTTCTTCCACATCGGATGGGTTTCTATATATCTACCTTTCAATCGGGTTGTTTCACGTGAGAACATCCTAGGCACAGCTGATTCGACCATCACTGGGGTAGCCACTGGGATCTATGGAACGCAAAGATCAGATCTTATCATAAGTCATCTGTCAGGCCATGCTTTTCTTATGCACCTGGCTTCTGTGATGGACACTGAAGGTAAAGTCTATCTTTTGAGATGAGCCACATACTACAATGAGATATTAATAAAAAATACTATCTATCAGAGCATTCAATAATTCTCAATGTGTATTTATTTGTATATTTCCTGTGTATTTATTTTTTATGGTTCCTGTCCCATCTATAGTGGGAAGAGACGTAAATTAACTTCAGTTAGTAAATTTATGAGAGAATGCTTAAACCGGTTGTTTTAATGACCTAAAGAAATAAACTGTTCATCTGCATGTAGACAATATTAGTTCCAGAGAAAAATGAGCCGTTTAATTAATCTGTTCCTTTACTCTTGGTTTTCTTAGATTGCAGTCTTATTTGTTGAAGCCTTTTATGTGAGACACTCAGATACCGTTGAATATCTCCAAAATATAAAGGGAACAGTTTAATTAAACTGATAATTGGCGTCAGTTTTAGTTGTGAAGGTATATATTCGCTTTATTGAAACTCAAGACATTGTTTTAAGACTTTTTTTGTTTCATATATATATATATATATATATATATATATATATATATATATATATATAAATGTTTATGTAGTCTAGACAATTTCAGTTACTTTCTACTTTTTGTCTATATTTGATTGATTTTGTTATTAAGTATTTCACATTACAAAAGAAAGGTGAAATTTTGTAAAAGCTTCGAGGCAAAACTACTGTGAATGATCTTCGAGTTGAAGCACTTTTTGTACACCTTTCTACATCGTCTTAGTAAATTTGTTTTTCTTTTTAATTTTTTTAAAATCGAAATTATGCTAACCGTAATGTGTCTGACCGTAATATCGATTCATAAAAGTCCATATATAAAACTTTCTATCAATTGCCATCATTTTTAACGGCACGTTTACACTAGTATGATAGCAATTGCCTGCTTGATAATTAATTTATATAGTCGTCAATTAATATTGACAACGTGTTCCATGCATTCATATAATCTTTAATTGAAGCATAAACATTATTGGATGCTTCCGAGATGATCCCTTTGGTTACCGAGGATGTATTTTTCTAAAGTGAATTGAGGCCTCTGTTAGACGTAAAGATAAAATTTAGATGTTGCAGAATTAAAAATAGTGGACTTTTGTTTGGAAGTGATCATTATTTAAAAAAAAAATGTTATCCAGAACTACATATAATATTCTCAATGTGCTCACTCCTGACACATAAAACATACAGATTCTTCCATTTAGACATAGAAAGAGATACGGACACGTGTTTGTAAGTGTTATACACGCTAAGCGATTATTTAACGCATTTTATTTACGCCGAAGCACACGATAAAAACGCAATTGTTTTCTTTTACAAATGAACTGTTTTCTTTATTGGGCATCATCAGATACCGAATAATTAATGGTGAATAACAGTCAGTGCGTTTTAAGTCAATGTT